TCCTTTACTGTTCTTTTTTGGTTTTAATTGATTAATTAATTTATTTATTTTGGCTGTGCCGGGTCTTAGTTGCAGCACACGGGATCTTCGTTGCAGCATGCAGCACCTTTTCAGTTGCAGCAGGCATGTGGGATCTAGTTCCCTGACCAGGGATCGAACATCCCCTGCATTGGGAGCGCAGAGTATTAACCACTGGGCCACCAGAGGAGTCCCCTTTACTGTTCTTTTTGAAGGCACTTTGTTTTGCTTTCCTTTTAACATCGAGCTTTTTCTTTTTTTAAATATTTATTCATTCATTTATTTGGCCATGCCAGGTCTTCACTGCGGCACACAGGTCCTTTTTTAGTTGCAGCATGCAGGATCTCCTTCCCTGACCAGGGATTGAACCCAGGCCCGCTGCACTGGGAGCGCAGAGTCTTAGCCACTGGACCACGAGGGAAGTCGACAGAATGAACAGAACTTTTCAGATTCTCTTGCTTATTACAGGCTTCACCTGCTACAGTATTTCAAAGAGAGACTGATACAGCTAACCATCCACAGGATTTTTAAATCTGTGCTTCCTGATTTTGTGCCGTTAGACTAAAGAACTCACGTAGATTTTTCTTTTATTTCATTTACTTTCAAATCTTCAGGGTCACTTTGGAAATGGAGATCTAAGATAACTGCAAAACCTTTAACCCGAGATGACAGGAAGCGTCACATCCTATATCTCATTTCCAAAGTCTAAAGCCGCAGAGTCGGGCTGTGCAGCCTGACTTCTCTGGTCTACAGAAGACAAGCTTCAAACTCCTGTTAAACTTTCGTAAGTGAGTTGAAATGAGCACCTCGCGGTGGAGGATGAGATCTGGGTTCATGAGTTTACCCAGGAGCTCTGCCAGAATGTAGCAAAGCTGAGTAGCAGCCCACCATCAGTCTGTTCCCAGCCTGCTCCTGGGGAAAGGAGGATTAAGAGATCAGGCAGAGTCAAGATGAAATAAACATGTTTTCACCATCGGGGAAGGAATTTCGTGTTGTTCCGCCACCCTTCCCCTGGGGAGGCATGAGCAGTCTCAATGACACAAACGAAAGCACTGTCGCTCCGGCCAGAAGGAGGAAAATCCGGCAACGGAGATGTCAGCAGATTGTTTTAGGTTCTGACTTCAGAAAACTCCTGTTCTGGAAAGGGTTACCCTCATATGCTATAAAGGAAACATGAAGCTTTGCAGCTCGTTTCGAAAGCAACGTGACTACAGATGTTCAACAAAAATACACAAACTCTTCAACCCAAACATCTCTTAGAATCTACCCCACAGAAATTACACAGAAAACAAAGACAGTTGTACGAGATGTCGATTCGTTGTTTATATTGACAAGAAACTGGACAGAAAGAGAACAGCCCTCAGAAAGACACTTTCTAAGCCCTTAAAACAACTGGGCAGATCGAGCAGCCTCACTGCAGCAAGAGATGGGGGTCCTCATCAATGTTTAGAAAGCTAAGCTAAAGCATGATCAACACGAATTTGCAAAGCAGGAAGCTAGCCGAGTAAAAGAAACCACTAACTCAGAACCTGTTAAGTGGGTAACCAAGATACTTTGAGGGTGGAGCTAGAACAATGTCCACAAGGAATGGTTTCACTCCATTTTTACAATCCCAGACTAAGGTGCTGTGGTCACGAAGACTGGCAGAAAGCCCAGCAAACACGAGCCCCACGTGCACCAACATGCAGCCGCCGCGTCCCCTCAGCCCTGCTGGTAGGACTGTCTTGGTCATGGGAATGTGACCTCGGAACGCACAGATGCAATCCTCCTGCTGCAGGAAGACAGCAACCGACCCTCCCCTGCTGCCTTTGCTGGTCCCACTGCTTTGGAGCTGGACTCCTGAACCCTCGCCACCTCGTTTCACGTAGACGTGTGGTCTGTGGGATCAGGCAGGCGTCTTAACTGAATCAATGCAACACAATCAAACCTCAGTCAAAACAGGGGAGGCACATTATTTATCATGCAACTACTGTCCTTTACTGGACTGTAATTAGGCTGATGCATTACCGTCTACAGAGCGCCTGCACTTTTCCAGAAGTATCTGAAAAAACGGCACAGTTCCTAAGACTTCTTTCAATAATTTTTTATGAGGAGAAGTCAAGGAGAGAATTATAATCCTAAAAGAGCAAGCACATTTTATGTTCCAAAGAAGAAAATTTTAAGAATTCAAAAGAGATTGGAGACAGGGAACATTGGGTGGTAATTTCATATAAGTAGTATTAATGTCCACTAATTGAACAATGTAACTAACAAGTGTTTCCCTTGAACCTGATTAATCTGCTAACCAATCAACAGGTACATGGTAGAGTCACTCCACACATGGTAGAGAGGGTCTTAGTGAGAACCTGAGCTGACCTCCTCTTCAAAGGAGGAATCGGACACAGAGGAGCTGTGTCACTAGCCCAGGATCCTGAGAATCCTGCTGGCTGCCAAAGGCGAAAACAACGAAGTCACCACCTGCAGCAGGATATCGGTTACACGTTTTAAAGAAAACACTCAGGCTTCCCTGGTGGCGCAGTGGTTGAGAGTCCGCCAGCCGAAGCAGGGGACATGGGTTTGTGCCCCGGTCCGGGAGGATCCCACGTGCCGCGGAGCGGCTGGACCCGTGAGCCATGGCCGCTGAGCCTGCGCGTCCAGAGCCTGTGCTCCGCAACTGGGGAGCCCACAGAAGGAAGAGGCCCGGTTACTAAAAAAAAAAAAAAAAAAAAACACTCATTGAACATGATTATTTTTAGCTTATAAAAGTCTATTCATTTAGAAGCATTGAATGCCGTAGATTATTGTAAGAAATATCTTTAAGAGGAGTTGCAATAATTTGTATAATTTACATACATTATATATAATATGCTATTATATATATTTAGGGGGTCTTGCCTTCAAAAACTGTATACAGGAGTTGAAAAGCACCGTCAAATAATATATAACAACAAATAATATTTAACACTATCAAATAATATATACATGCAAGGTTGTCTTCACAAGACAGTCATTTATTGTTGAGAAGTTACTCATCTCTCTAGCCTCAGAACAAATTCTATGGGAAGCAGCGGCAGAAACTCAAATAATGGAAGAAGATTAACATTTAGCTACTGCCCTAATCGCCAGCTCACACAACAGCACCTCCTCCATTCCCTCTCAGGGTTAAGTATCCCTTTCATTACACTGTGACGGAAACAAACCAGATGACTCCACTGCAGCCAGCGTCCAGCCAGAACAGAATGATTCTCTTCCTCATTGTGGGATTCCTGGAAGTTTCCATGACATGTCGATTGGCCTTAGAGGAAAGGTGCTAATGGCAACAGCGTTCTTGGCAAACGTGCATGTATACGATATAAACGTGCTAAGAGGGATTCCCTGGAAGTCCAGTGGTTGGGACTCTGCACTTCCACTGCACGGGGCACGGATTTGATCCCTGGTCGGGGAACTAAGACCCCACAAGCCGTGCAGCGAGGCGAAAAAAAAAAAAAAAAGTGAGCCAAGATGAGATGGAGAAACAGCTGAAATTCATTTTAGTTCATCTCACAAATCCCCATATGGTCTTGACCAAGACAAAGGAATATTACCTCATTAGTGGAACATTATCTCTTTAACAGACCAACAGGCCTGGATTTTAACATTGAGCATGAAACGACATATTGAGAAATGGGAAACTAGATTTTTGAATAATAATAACTACTGTTGCTATTTAATTATTAATAGTGTTTTTCTCACTTTGTGTCTATCGTTATTATTATTTTCTGGAGCTATCTATTGCAGGTTTCCCTAATAATCTTCAGGTTCTCGTGGAGCTTGATGATTTTTTGTGATCAATGAGCTCTGGTCATGACTGCATAATGGTTTTGCTTATAGATTCCTCAAATTCGACTTAGAAGAGTTTAGTCCCACGTCAGACCCAATCCTATGGAAGGATTTTCGTTTTGCAGAGAATTTAGAAAGAACCTACAACGGTCAAGTTTGTGATGGAATTAAATAAACTAAGAACGTTTTGAGGTCTACGCTACTATCAAGTAGTTTGAAATGGATTTCTGTCCCTGTCCAAAGGCCTTGGTCTGTTACACCAAGCAGCTCAGTACGTAAGACGTTCTTTGCTGTCATTTTTTTTAAACACTGCAGTGGATTCCGTGCTGCTAGAGACGGCTGGTACACGAGGTAATGATTTCCAGGTGTGCTGTCTGTCCGGGCAGGAGAAGTGATGGCTGCCTCTGGACCCTTGTACGTGCACAGTTACTTTTGTCCACTTACAAGTGTAATTGTGGATGGTTCACTTACACATAAGATTTGAATTCCTCTCTCATTTTGCCTACTAGCTACCTTTATCCACACCAACTGTGATGGGCCAACTGGTACCCGGTGCAGTCTAGTGAGCAAGTGAGATGTCACAGCACTCTGCTGAGATAATTCATCACCATCTGGTATCGGCAGTGAGAGACGGCTCAGCGCACCAGGACTTTCACGTTCACGTTGGTGGACATACAGACAAGAATACAGAGCTAAAGATTCTAACATCATGCACAATGGCTCGCTAAGAACGTAGGCTTTTTGATAGGAAAATATCCTCCAAAACCTGTTATGAGCAGTCTACTTGTGGTGAAGTTATGGCCATGGGTGTAGCTGAACAATGTCCGGAGTCCTGGGAAATCAGAAGAGACCGCTCTTTGCACACACCTTGTTTTATAGATACCGTGGTTCTTAAAACTGATACCGGAGTGTCATTTTATGATGTGCAGAGCTAGTGTGGTGTTTGTTCCATCCCAATATATCTACACGGATTCAAAAGCCAGGAATTTCTTCACTTTGTCATCTGTTAAGCATCTCCCTTTTGGTACATTTAGCTCCAAACAGGCAATAAAGTAGCTTAGCAATTATTGCCTTTTGTGCAAGTAATTAATGATAGACAATAACTAGACTCATAACCGGCTTTTCCTGGAAAGTGTTTAGCTTTGATTTCCAGTCTTAGTGCCCTACCTTGGGATGATGTGGATATCTCTGGGTCCCTCGTGAACCTCCCAGGCCAAGCCGCCAACATTCCAGGTCTTGATCACAATAACTTCCCAGCTGGTCAATCAGCTCCCACACTTAGCTCACTACGGATGACAAAGGGGTGTTTTACAAATTGTGAATTTCATTAACAGAACCCTCCTCTGTGGTGTCCAGCCAGGATGGAGCTGATAGTAGCCACTAATAACCATCGCTGCTGATGCCCGCTCTGAAGAGGGGAAGCCGAAAGCCTCACTGGGGGCTTACAAGCTTGCTCCTCTCATGTCCTATCACTTTCAAGCTGAAAGTGAGGACTTTTTAACAACCACACATGTAGAGCACTATAATTAAAACAAAGAGACTAATAAATGCTAGGCCACATAGATTTAGCACAATTACTAACCCTTGCTGATCTCTACTGTAAATGCAACCAGCAGAGAGATGAAGTGAGCTAAAGCACTTCAGCAATCAAGAGTACGATCCCTGAGCTGTGGTGCTCGTGCAAAGTACCCACCGCCTAAGCCGCTGTCATGGTTTCATAGAAATCAGCTGTCACAGAAGAGATGGGTTACAAGAATCTAATACGCTGCCCAGAGACAATGGACTACTCAAAGACAACTTAAATGAAAGCTAATCAAACAATTATATCTAAAAATCCTTAACTAGGGGCTTCCCTGGTTGCTCAGTGGTTAAGAATCTGCCTGCCAGTGCAGGGGACATGGGTTCGAGTCCTGGTCCGGGAAGATCCCACATGCCGCGAAGCAACTGAGCCGGTGTGCCACAACTGCTGAGCCCGTGTGCCACAACTACTAAAGCCCGCGCACCTAGAGCCCATGCTCTGCAACAAGAGAAGCCACCACAATGAGAAGCCCGCGCACCGCAACGAAGAGTAGCCCCCGCTCGATGCAACTAGAGAAAGCCCGCGTGCAGCAACGAAGACCCAACACAGCCAAAAATAAAAAATAAATTAAATAAATAAATAAAAACTAAAACCCTTAACAAGAGGCTTCTTCAAAGTGGGCTTGAAGCTAACATCCTCATACTTAAGAATTGGAGCCCTCTGCTCAAAGCTCACATCTCGCGATTCCTCTTATGAAGATGCGCACACCGGGATGAGAATTAAAGAGGTGTGCTGCTCTAATTAGATGAAGAAACATTCAGAAGCATTTGCAATTCTCTCTCTCCCTCATCCCCACATCCATCAGCATGGATTCCTAAACACACCGAAAATCATTCAAGAATTCTACTCCAGGGCTTCCCTGGTGGCGCAGTGGTCGAGAGTCCGCCTGCCCATGCAGGGCACACGGGTTTGTGCCCCGGTCCGGGAAGATCCCACATGCCTCGGAGCGGCTGGGCCCGTGAGCCATGGCCGCTGAGCCTGTGCGTCTGGAGCCTGTGCTCCACAACGGGAGAGGCCACAGCAGTGAGAGGCCCACGCACCGCACCAAAAAAAAAAAAAAAAAAAAGTATGGCTTGTTAAGGTTCAAGAAAATACATCACGGCCTGTATTATTATGCACAAAACGAGAAATTATAAATGGGTATTCATGCATAAATGCCAATTTCTGCCTCTGCCTCTCTGTGTAATGATGTTAAGGGAAAATTGCGTGGAAGCAATTAAGTCAGCATATTTTCAAAATATTTCTTCCAGACGTTTATAGGGTGAAGCTACACTCTGTCTGAGACAAACTATTATACAATGCTAGCAATTAGCTCACTGATAAATGGAGTTCTTAGAAAAGTATTAAATTGTATTATTTTGCTTTAGAAACGCAAACATTTTGTATAAGCCCCAAAACATCTAAAGTCTTGATGCTCAAACTGGCACAAAATACCCCTGAAAAAAAATCTATTCATATTCTCTAAACTAGGGCACAGCACAAAAAAGATGACTCCCCATTTTGAAAAATGATCTATCTTTACTTATTTACGCATCTCCTCTTCAAGAAAAAAAATATGTATTTTCAGATGGCTCACAGTAAAACAAGTGTATACTAAGATAGCAAAATAAAAATTTTAATATAGAAACAATGATAAAATAAAATTTTCACCTTTTCCCTCTTCTCTCTAAATTTACTGTTAGTTCTTCGGAGGTGAGACAACATTGAACAAAAAACCTTGAAAGAATTATTTTCAAGGTAAATCTAAATTAGGTCAGACTGTAAAACAACTGTCTACTAAAAAGGCAGGAACTTGTTTTGAGATAAATGCCATTTTAGTGAAAAAATGAAATTAATTCGTCAACCTCCCAAAAATACAATTAAGTTAAATAACCCAGAGGTCCATCCACTGAGGAATGTATTTTTAAAAAGGCAGTCTATCCATACAATGGAATTCTGTTGGGCAATAGAAAGGAATGAAGTACCAATTCATGCTACAAGGGGAATGAACTTCAAAAATATTAAGCTAAGTGAAAGAAACCAGTCACAAAAGATCGCAGATTGTATGATTCCATTTATACGAAATGTCCAGAACAGGCAAATCCACAGAGACAGAAGTAGATCAGTGGTTGCCTAGGGCTGGGGGTGGGAGGGAAGATAGGCAGTGATTGCTAATAGGTACGGTTTTATTTCCTAGGAAAATGAAAATGTTCTAAAATTGGATTACAGTGGTAGTAAATATATTAAAAATCATTGAACTGTACACTTCAAAAGCAAGACTCTTACAGCATAAAAATTATATCCCAATAAAATACACAAACTGTAAGGTAGGCCAGAGGGGCGTCTGCAAGCACAGATAGGGTTTTCCCTGGGCTCTGTCCCGATGCTTGAACAAATTCTACTTGAGTCCCCATATGCTGGTCATATGCCCATGGAGCACGACAGGGCTCGTTTTGGCCAGAAAGTCTTTCCAACCAAATATCATCCCTGTCTCATCCACAAGAGGGAAAACCTCAGGAGAGTCCCCAGAGAGCAGCCTATTCTGGGTAACGTGACTTGTCCTTGTGCCACTGATGGAGAAAATGTGCACATGTCGAGCTATGGGGACGTCCTTTTGGCTTATACGTGATTCAGGCTGTGCTTTGTGTGAACTCAAGCAGCCTGACTCGGGGCCTGTCAAACGCACACAGCACATCTGCCTTAACCATTAGGGAAAAAATGTCCAATATAAGGGGAATTAACTCCCTTCCTGCGGCACCCACGTTCACACTCCTGCCCCAAAGACAAGGTTCCCTTCCCAGACACCGGCGTCCTGCTGCTGGCTTGCTGTATTCATACTAAATGTCTCTTTTGCACCCTTGAAGGATGCACCCCTGCTGCGTTTGACGGTCTTCATTCTGATAAGGTGTAAGACTGGGTGAGATCCACGCTTCAGTGAGCGGTCCTCAGAGCTGCTGAGAGGCCGCCTCCCAGGCTGTAATCCTCAGGCTGGCTTGAATAAAACCCTTTTCTATTCCTTATTATGGATTGATTGTTGGTTTTTTGAGTTGACACCACCAAGAAGAGCAATCCCCAGGTTTCTAAAGACGTGAGTTGCCATATGAAATTACTTACCACTCACCAGCAGTGACTTTGAGAACATCTGCCTGTGGTTTACATGCATTGTTTTTAGTGGCTAACCTGGCTAGTAAAAGGGGACTCCATTCCCTGGAATATCTAGGCTCGGGCTGTGAAGTAGGAAGAGCCCTCTCTTTGTTGACTACCCATGCAACAAAAATCTAGGGAACTCGGAAGCCAGTGAAGAAAGCTGTGGCCAGAGTGAAGGGGGAGCCAATATGATGCAGCAGAGGGAGAGAGTCCGACAGCACTCAAATTCCTGACCCAGGTGAGCCTGAGGCCTCTCTGTATCCCCATCCTTCTTACAGCTGCGCTGGGTTCCATGGCAAAGATTCACCCTTGTATTATTTCATTATTTCATTAAATTTCATTGCTTCATTAAATCTCCTTTTCATTTATCTTGTTCCAGTTGAGTTTCTTCCACTTGGTAATAAAAGTTCCAGCAGACAAGACTATCAAAAATGATTCATTTTGTTGTACTGACAATCATTAATTCAACCGTTATTTATTGAGTGACTGCCCTGTGCTAGGTGCTGTTCCAGGTACCAGGTATATGATCCAGGAACCAGACAGAAGCCCTCGCCCTGTGTCCCCTGCCTACAGGAAGTCACTCATTCTACCATGCACTCCTGGATGCTCACAAAACATGCATTCAATCAGCAGCACTGGCTGAGTTTCTCGAAGCCAAAATGTCCACGTTCTTGATGACGTCATCCATGGTCTTGGCCACTGCTCGCATCGAGGGCATGCATGGTCTGGGCTTCTCACCGAACTACCTTAGAGACCATTCAGCGACTTGTCAGGCGAGACTTCCCACCAGTGATGGTCAGCAACACAGCAGGCTAAGTCCCTTGAGTCCATCTCAGGTCATTGGGTCTCAGCTCTCAGGGCCTCTTCAGATCCTGTGGAGACTCAGCTGAGAGGCAAGCTGAAAGAAAGAGTTTGCAGGGACTTCCCTGGCTGTCCAGTGGTTAGGACTCTGTGCTTCCACTGCAGGGGGCACGGGTTCAATCCCCTCTCAGGGAACTAAGATCCCGCAAACCACGCAGCGTGGCCACAAAGAAAAAAAGAGTTTGCATATCCATCAGTTACCTGCAATTTATAAAAATGTAAAATGGTGTAAAGACAATGAACAAAGCTGGAATCTGATGACTCGGAAGGGTGTGCTATACTATAGATGGTGCACAATTTTCCACTGAAACACAAAATTTCTCTCTACAGCCTTTTGGTCAAAAGCAATCTCAAAGAAAGACTATTCTTGTTCACAAATTAAGGCTAGTCTCATTGGACTTGGCTTAAATTTTTATGTACGTGTTGCAAAAATGGTAATTTACCATAGGTCTTCTTAAGACTGCTTTGCTTAAAGTTTTCATAAGGAATCTCAGATTGGATTCTAAAATCCTCTTAAGACGAAGAAGACAAGAACTTGACATATTTCACCTGCAGTATGTGTAGAGTTGGGTGAATCCCTCTCTTCTTGAGGTCTCCAAAAGATCCTAAGATTCCTGAGTCTGTCAAGAAGTGACCACCCTTACTCACTTGGAAGGCTAGGAGCCCTGGAAGCCAAGAACCAGACAGTTTTTCCTAAAGGAGTTTGTAAGCACCAGCTCCATATAAAGTCACCCGTAGCTCCTTAAAAGTCATTCAACGAGCATCATTCTCAAATATGACATTCCAGGCCAAGTCCTGATTGCATAACCAGTGTTTCTAATTATGTCCTCTTAACAAGGAGATCAGACTCTTGAACCTGTGAAAATAACTATATTGCCGTGAAATAAGAACACTCAAGAGGAGTTTCAGAATTCTAGAGGTGTCAGGCAAGGAGAAATAGATGTCATTTAAATATTGCATTTCAGGACTTCCCTGGTGGCGCAGTGGTTAAGAATCCGTCTGCCAATGCAGGGTTCACAGGTTTGAGCCCTGGTCCGGGAAGATCTCACATGCCACAGAGCAACTAAGCCCGTGGGCCACAACTACTGAGCCTGTGCTCTAGAGCCCGTGAGCCACAACTACTGGGCCTGCGTGCCACAACTACTGAAGCCGGCGTGCCTAGAGCCCATGCTCCACAACAAGAGAAGCCACTGCATTGAGAAGCCCGTGCACCACAACGAAGAGTAGCCCCCGCTCGCCACAACTAGAGAAAGCCCATGCGCAGCAACGAAGACCCAATGCGGCCAAAAATAAATAAATTAATTAATTAATTAAAAAATAAAGTACTTCTCATTAAATAAATAAAGAAAGAATGTTAACTCAATTTAATATCAGTTCTAGGTTTTTAAGTTACAAAAAATTCAGGACATTATCTTCAAGTTAACGTAATTACTATTGAAATAAAGTTTGTCAGAATAATTATTCAATTCTGGTTAAGTGTAATTTTGCATTTTTCATAACCTTAAAAATGTACTAGAAGCAATGCGAGCTTATTCAATAAGTCCTGTATAGGTTTAGGAAGAATATACCCAAGTAGAATCAACATATATTTACTGAACACTGGTAACCCAGAGAACACACGGTTTGTTTTTATTAACACTAGTAAACAAACTAGTGTTAAACTAGTCTTTTTTGCCAAAGATCTATCTAAATTATGTGAGCTTGAATTCTTAAAACATGTTCAAATTATTTTCCAAAAGAATAACTTTTTTCACATTGAAAGCATTAGAGGTTCAATTTACTTAATTCCTAGGAATTTTAAAAATTGAATTGAATTTATATAAGCGCTTTTATTTATCTGCAAACTAATCAGGATAGAGCTTCATTAAGAGACTTTATAATCTAATTTGGTAATACCCGCAGTAGGTAGAAAATACCAATACTTACACAGTAAAAAATAAAGGCCTTTCTGAATTAGACATATTAAGTCTATAGACACAGAGGGAAGGCTAACAGTTTTAACTCTAAAACCACAGCCATGGATCAAGCATAAACACAGAAACACAAAATTTACCACTTCCCACTGGGCATGAAATTCTTCATTCTTAATTTGAGCATCGAATAGACCAAGAGATCACCAAGTGGTTAGGCCACAGAACCAAAAGAATTCAGCGTCCACAATCAAGCAAGTACGCAAAAGAACCAAACTCAAACCCACACCAAGCTGTCAATGAACAAGTGTCCCGAGCACAGGACCAAGAGTAAAACTCACCATCACCAGGTGGCCCAGCAGGAACAAAGCACAGAGGGCCCGAGAGCCTTGTTACCCAGATGGAGAAAACGCAGATCCCAAGACAAGGTCCAACCCATCCGATTCAAGACACCAGCTGTGAAAGACAAAAATGCACCAGACAATTTAGTAGACGATTTTATTCAGGCCGTTGTGATAGAGAGAAGTGCACTAATGAAGAAGGTTTCAAGCAAGAGGGAGGAAACCTGGAGTTTCTTGAAAGGAGAGAATTCTTGGGGAAGGTGGAGTTTGGTCTCATCTCTCAGAATATGTGCTCAGCCATTTCCCAGAATGCATCACCACCATCTGGGAGAACAGGGCTCAGATGAAGTTTAACATCATCAACGTGAAGAAAGCAATTCGATCAGGGTGTGTGGATGAAAAATTAATCAATCTATGAAAGAAATGGAAAATTTTATTCGAGCCAAACTGAGGATTATAACCCGGGAACAGCATCTCCTAAAGCTCTGAGAACTGCTCTGCCCATGAGAAGTCAAAACACAGTTATATTTTTCAAGACAGAGGCTGTATGTTAAATGACGTATTATTGAGAGTTTACACAATCCAGATCTGCTAGTACAAAGGGGTGGGGTCATCATGACCCCTTGCAAGATCAAGAAGGAACGTTATCTTTTTTTTAATTTATTTTTTTATACATCAGGTTATTATTAATCTATTTTATACACATCAGTGTATATATGTCGATCCCAATCTCACAATTCATCCCACCACCAACATCACCCCCCCACCACTTTCCCCCCTTGATGTCCATACGTTTGTTCTCTACATCTGTGCCTCTATTTCTGCCCTGCAAACCGGTTCATCTGTACCATTTTTCTAGGTTCCACATATACGCATTAACATACGATATTTGTTTTTCTCTTTCTGACTTACTTCACTCTATATGACAGTCTCTAGATCCACCCACGTCTCTACAAATGACCCAATGAGAAGGAACGTTATCTTTTAAGGAGTCATCTTGTTGATGCTGGGAGAATGTTGTTCTTTCCAGTTGAGCAGGTATTTCTGCTGATGGGGGAGGTCTGGTCAATGCACAGTGCAGATACACAATGCACAGTGAGGGGAGAGAGGAGACCAAAGGGCAGGGAACATTTTTACGCTTATATTTTTTCTCGTCCACCCATAAAATACAAATCTTATTTCACAACAGGTACAACCATCAAATCTGTCACCTGCTAACTGTAGTCCAGGGAAGTGAAGACTGAGACACGGAGCTGAGGGCATCTTTGCTGATTTTGCTACGGAACTCGTTCGTGCGCCCCACACACAGTGAGGCCAAACGAATCACAACATCAGAGTCTGGAGCAGAGAAAGGTTTATTTCGGGGCCAGGCAAAGAGAAAGGGTGGCTTGCGCTGAAAAAAACCTTTGGGGTGAGGGCTGTGCAGGGTGTGTGACTTTCTTCTGATTGGCTGGTGGTGAGGTCATAGGGTGGAGCTCCAGGAATCCTGTGCTCAGCCTGCAGTTACCTTCCTCCACCTGGGTGGGAGCCTCAGTTCCTGCAGAAGAGCTCAGAGATCTTGTTGTGTACATGCCTTCACGTGGAACCAGGACCCTGCCCCGAGGCAGCACTACTTTTTCTAGACTGTTCCTCATTTCTTTCTGCATCCCCACCCTTCCCTGATCAGCAACGGTTTGACTCTGCCTTTTGGAACTCAGGAAAGGTCTTTGGAGGCTGAATGAAGCCTATTTCCTACAAACAAGAAACGGGGGACAGGGAAAGGATTTGCACCCTGGAGTCGCACAGGGTCAATTTCAACAAGACCAGTTTTGGTTCCAAGATGGGAATAAAATCTCCTGTCATTATCAATTTTACATAATTATTGATAAATCAGTTCTTCCCTCAGCCTTTCAAAGTCTAGAAAGTGGGATGCTCTACTCTCTTTATATATTTCGAATATTTATTGGCAAAGAAATTTAACAAGTTTTTCACCAATAGCAATATTTATAAATATATTTTGTCTAGTGTCATAAAAATAAAAATGGGCCTTGTGCCATGACTTCCACAGTTTTTCAAGTTTATACTATTCATATTCTTCACTTTTTAATCACTTATTCTGGCCGAAATGTAGTCACACAATACGTTATCTGAATGCACTACTTTGTCATGTTTGGATGGGACTTACTTTCTATCAATAGGATTACTTCTGAGCAAAGGACATGCTAAAAATGCACCCCAAAATCCATAATATGATTCATAATCCTCCCGAATTCTTACTTTGTAAGGAGACATAGGATTAAAGAAAGTAATTTTGTAACATTTAAATTTGCATTTTAAGAAGGCTTGCCTGAGAAGAGGAAGCATTTTCTCACACAGCCATAATTAAACAACAAAAAAAGAAAGTGGTAATCACAATGCCTTGCATTTAAACACTGCTTTCTTCCACACAGCAAAGTCATGGGAATCAGAGCTGGGAAGGACCTTGCAGAGAGACAATCAAGTTCAACCTACCATTTAAATGATGGGAAACTGAGGCCTAGAAAAAATTAAGTGACTTATAAGGCCTTAACTTTACCAGCTAATGGCTGGGACGGCTTAAAATAAATGAACTTCCAAAAATCTCTGCTTCAGGAGTCATATAATTAAGCTGTGAATATTATCACCTTACTTCTAAGCGACAGAGGAAATAAGTTAGAAACAGGCGACTATAACGTATCGAAGTTACAAAGTAGCAAAATGAGAGCTCAGAATTCTTGCCTCTTGTCTGGATGCTCTGACAGATCCCCACCTGCAGTACTGAGCTGCATTGATCAGTTTCGTTCAAATTTACCATTCAGTTTGCTACAACCCTACTCTTAGTGTTATCCCTCACTTCAGGATGTAAAGGTGTGAGGACGGACAGTTTGTATGTCCTTATTAATCACAATTTTGGAAGAATGTAAAAATACAGAATCAAAGACTGTCTACAGATGTCTCCCACATCACAGGGATGCTTCCTTAAAAATTCAGGAACCCTCACTGGAGGACAGGAGTAAACCCAGCTGCCAGCAGAGGCTTAAACATGGGTCAAACAGGCAGAAGCACCAGTGACCAGTCTTTATTTTCAAACCCCTTGCCTTCTTGTTTCATTTTACGAGTCCTGAGTAACAGACAGTAACTATGGGATGCCTGTTTCCCAGGTAGCCAGAGCTTTTCAGAATCCGAAAAAAAAGGTCATTAGGGAGGTTATTCCCAGGGGTAAAGCTGGATATGCCTGGGCATTCGGGAAGCAAACTCATAAAAAAAGACTGGAAAGGCCTTGGGTTCGGATTTCACAGAGGTCCTGCTGAGTCTCAAATGTTCCTAAATTTAGAAAGTAGATGTGGAAACTGGCACAACTTGAAAAACCATAAAACATTTCTGTATTGAAGAGTATTTTAATTTTAAAATATTATGTCACCTTCCTCTTCCAGGAAAATGGAGTAGTATGTCTCCCTATACCCCCAGAGAAGAACAACTAAAAATCCTGGATGGAATATACACAACAAAAACAAAAAGGTTCTAAGTGGAGGAGAGAAGAGGAAGATTGGTCAGGAACCAAGGAATAATGCGGTGTGAGCCCCAGGGGTCCCTTTCGGCCACATGTGTCCCTGTCTTTGAACTGAAGAAGCTACAACTGAGAAATGGAACCGGAAGCAGACAGAAAAAACAACAACGGCGGAAGCCTGCTCTGTCTGGTCAAAGGCAGAAAAGGGGCAACCAAGCAGGCAGAAAACTTTCAGACAACTGACAACTGCTCCAGTCCAACTAAAAACCAGAGAAACTGGTGTCCTCCACCCGCCCCCCTCACAACCATGCAGGCAAAGTCTAAGTAGGGGGCCAAGATGTGCCCTCCACAGGCTGGGACAAAGGCCCAACACCCTGTCTGGGATGCTGTCCAGGAAGTCAAGTAGTGGCCGAGACATTCCTACCCTTAGCTGGTAAGGACCACCCACCCCTGCCTGGATCACCGACTTAAACATACAATTATACAACTTTTAGGGAAAAAATGAAAGAAAACCTTTGGCATCTAGGGTTAAGCAAAGAGTTAGCAGACTGATACCAAAAGCATCATCCATAAAAGGAAAATGTGATAAATTGGCAATTTCACTTTAGTTTAAAACTTCTGCCCTGCAAAAGGCCCTATCCAGAGGATGAAAACACATCTACAGGATGAGCGAAATCTTTGCAAACCAAATATCCAATAGAGGACAAGTATTCAGTATCCTGCCGAGCTTTGGGGTGACTCTAAAATCAGGAGAATATTTTTCTTAACAAACGGGATGGAGTTTATACCTACAAAAGTGTCATCTTTCATAATGGTCACCTTGGGAAGTTACACAAACCTTGAGAAGTTGCGTGCTTGGAACACGGCTCCAAACATTTTGAAGCTCCTCTTTGGGAATTACCTTCAAAAACAGCTAACGAAAAACTCATGCCGGGCTTCCCTGGTGGCGCAGCGGTTGAGAGTCCGCCTGCCGAGGCGGGGGACGCGGGTTCGTGCCCCGGTCCGGGAAGATCCCACATGCCGCGGAGCGGCTGGGCCCGTGAGCCATGGCCGCTGAGCCTGCGCGTCCGGAGCCTGTGCTCCGCAACGGGAGAGGCCACAACAGTGAGAGGCCCGCGTACGCAAAAAAAAAAAAAAAAAAAGTCATGTCATTTTTCATTGAGAACAGCATCGATGCTCCATCAGTCTTGCCTGTCCCTCAAAAGACCAAGACGTGCACTTCCAAGAACAGTCAGAGATTAGACATCACAACTAATGAATATGTTTAAAAAGAGTAAACCCCCCAACAAGATAAAAAGAACCGTTTTTTTCAACTCATATCACACATAGCTCATTTCCCTCATGTAGAATTTCTAGAAAGCATTAAGAAAAAGGCCAATAAACTCATAGAAAAACATGGTTAAAGGCCACGAACAGATAATTCACGTGAAAAGCGTTAATAGTGTGAAGAGAAACTCAACTCACACGTGACGAAAAGCGCGCTGAGAACTCGCTTTCCCTCTCAAGTCAGCATGTCAGAAGTTTGATGACACAGTGGGATGGCGTCTCAAGCCGGCAACTCGGCAATATTTATCCATACAACGTAGGTACTGTTGTTTTGCAAACCCGCACGGACACGGAGGGCAGGGAGACACCGAGGAAAGAGGCCAGCGCCCCAGGCCGTAGGCTGCAGGTGTAAGACGCAAGGAATTTACAAGCTGGTTTCCGCTTCCGCCCCCGCCCCCGCGGAGTCTTCAAGTTCATCCAGAGGCCTCAGCAGGGTCCAGGCCCAGCCTGGGTGGGTGGTGGAGGCGGGGGTGATCTCAGTACCACATGACTCTCCGAAGCTGCATCCCTGAAAGTGGTCCCCACGCTGGGCGCGGTAGCCAGAACCCACATCCTGAGGACAGGGGAGGGGTGAGGAGAAGGGAGGAGCCTTGGATCGCCCGGGGCCGGCGCGCAAGCCAGCCTGCAGTCATAGCCTCTCCGTGACCTGATGACCTCCTCCAGCACTGACCTTTGACCCAGCCACTACCCCACAGATACATTTCCATGTGTGTCAATGACATAGGTGTAAGGTATTTCAGCTTTATTCGTTACAAAAGATGGGAAGTAACCTGCATGCCTCTCACTATGGGACTGATAAATAAATTATGCCTCATTCATAAAATAAAATTTTATGTGGATGTTGCGGAAGGAGTATATTCCCCAAGCACTAATATGTTGCCAAGTGTGAAAAAAAGCAACGTGTGCCGCAGTTTATAAACTTTATGTCATGGATATAAGCTTCTTGTAATGCCATAGGTGTTAGGGAAGGGAAACGTATTTATACATGATATATAGATATAATATATACATGATGTCACTGTATATAAATAACGCATGCAGAAGCACACAGTCACGGCATATAGATTTCTGGGAGGATATGTCAGAAACCGATAATGCGGCTGCCCCGGGGGCACTTAAGGCTAAGAATGGATAATGAGAAACCGTGCTTCCGCATCTGAGCGCCCGTGAACACTGAGCTACTGGCAGCCACACTCTTTGCTATATATCCTATGACTCAGACCTTATTTTAGGCAGCCTTTCCAAATGATGAGCTGTTTCGAAAGTACTTTGAACAATGACACAACTTTTTGAATATTGTACGTAATCTCCCTGAGCGACTGCAAAGGTGGCATCTGTAATTTTTACATTAAATTTTTCAACTGCTCGTGTTACTTTAATCTCCCCCCCAACACGCCCCCCCGTATGAATACGTAAATAATTGACATGGAGAAAGTCAGTTTTTCCATTGTTTTTTTGGCTTCCAATCGTCAATAGACTAAATGACCATGGTAGTAGCTTTCAGTCTATTTCTAATAAGAATAGACTGAACCTCAAAAAGATTAAAACATAACCACTAAACATGATTTCATGCTTTGTAAATTCTACTCAAAGATGCAGAAATCTTTTACGATATGCTCCTATTTCTGTGAGATTCCAACTTTTAATGATTTTTCTGTCTGTATTCCAAATTCAGTACCGTAGGCAACACATTCTTATAAATCACTTTCCAAATATAAAATTACTAAAATGTAACTCAAACATGTTCTGTTATTTCATTCAACAAGCATTTATGGAGTGTTTGCAAAGTGCTACATGAAATTAATACTCTACTCTCTTAAAAATGACAATGAAGAAAAAGAAATTTCAATCAATAAATAAGACTAACAAAAAATTCCAAATAATAATGCAACCTTATGGTGGTCCTGGTTATGTAAATACTTTCCCATTCTTCATTTTTTTATTTCCCTGTTTCACATGCAATCGTTCTCCAGGCATTTTCTGACTAATTAAGGATTGCTGGGGCTGCAAGAATTAGAAAGCCACTCAAATCAGCTCAAGTAAAACTGGATTTTCTGAGCAGACACAAAGGAATTAACTAGAAACAAAGTCTGTAATACAGCTGGACCTCTGGGAAGTGGATATTTCTTGAAAATGGGTCTCTCTTTTCTTTCACTTTGCATCAGGCAGCCTGGTAAGACCAAGGTATCCAGAAGGGTTATTCCAGAAATTGATGTTTGCGTCAATCATTTATGTAAATACTTAAAAGGTATTACATATTTTCCTGCAAATATGATCTGCTACTGCCTCACCTGTAACTTTCTGATAGCTAGCGGTTATCCTCAGTGTAAACCTCAGAGCCCTAAACTTTAATGATCTTCCCTCTGCTTACCTAACCAGCCTTATTTCGTGGTATTCCCCCTGCCCCCCTACATACCCTCCCTCAATCTCCAGACCTTTCTACATCCTGTAGTTATGCTTTGAACCGTTAGCACTTTAACGTCATATAACTTACACTGAAATACTTCCTTTTGTTTTTACATTTTTAAAAACAGTTGCAGTCAGGTCTGCTCTGGATGTAACTGGGAGTAGAGGAAAAGATGGCAGGTAGCACAATGATCTCACGTTAAGCCTGTCTCCGTGCCTACACACTCACCAAGAGCCGGTTCACCTCCCCGTCTTTCCTCCATCCTCGTGAAATCAGATCAGGGAAGATCCGAAACCCAGTCACCCAGAATGAAAATGGTTGATAGTTTCCATTTCATTTACCTCTCCCAGTGGTATTTGCATTTTATCATGAATCAAAACTTTAAATTAAAACGTTAGAATGTTAGCATTTCCATCATCAGCCAGTAGAAAATTGATATGATTGGGAAGGCAGGCGAGGACCTCCCAGTGCCCCTAGTTCAAACCATATTCTGCCTTCATAAAAGCCTGACCTTGGCTGTACTCCGGTTGTCAAGAAAGTATATATCGCACAGATGAGTAAACTGACTTTCTTATAAAGCTGGCCATGATTGCATCTGCCGAAGCAGGGCCGCAGAGCTACCCGTCAGCACACATCTCAAGTGAATTTCCACAGTAGGCCAGAGATGATTAAATAATTTTTGTAGAACAGCATTTGAAATTTTGCTTCTATCTATATGTTTTATAATAGTCAACAGAGAACGGATTGCATCCCTCCAAGAAGAGAATAATCTGGCATTTTAAAGAAGTCCTGAGGCACACATTAGCACAAAAAACCCATCCCGCTCCAGTGTGTCAGGCACGCACTTCTTAGAGACCTCTTCAGGTACTTTATCTTTCAGCTTTTCCAAATGGTATTTTTTAAAAGCGTCCAGATGTCTATCCTGAAGGCAATTATTTCCTTAAAGTTCATAGAGAGTCAGAGACAAAGGAAAAATACATTTTAACATTTGTACGTTTGTCCCCCAGCAACAGAAGTTAAGCATTAAATTGCACTATGACTCTAAAAGCTGTAAGGAAAAAGGGACCGTGGATAACTGTAGTCAATGACTTTAGGAAATCAATGTTAGTCAAGTCGGCACAAATCCTCACATTTCCTTCTGAGACACAGTCAGTGCTTCCATAATGGGTAAATACATGTCTCCTTGGTTAGGCTAGAGTGTCCAGTTTTTCCATCAAACACCAACCTAGATGTTGCTGTAAAGATAATGTGTAGACGTGATTAATATCTTCAGTCAGTTGACTTCAAGGAGATTACCCTTGATGACATGGGTGGAACTCATCCAATCAGTTAGAAGCCTTTGGAGCAAACACTGAGGTTTACTGGAGAAAAAGGAATTCTGCCTTGAGACCTCACCATCGGCTCCAGCCTGCTGACCTGGAGACTGACCAGTGCCCGCCGTCTTGTGACCCAGTCCTTGAAGGAAATCTCTTTATAGGTGACGGATGGATCAGCTGATAGATAAATATCTCCTTCTCCTCTTGGCTCTGTTTCTCTGGAGAACCCTGACTAATACACCTTCCCATGCCATCATACTGATTAATTTACATGCCACATTTGATAGTTTTTGCAAGGATAAGAGCTCTGTGAATATCATCTTAGTGAATAGATTATTTACCGCCTTAAATCAGCTTTTTCAAGCCATGATCCCAGAGTCGTAAACAAGTTGCCTGAGTGACTCAAGTGGCCAGAAGGAGAAGGACAGCTTCTAAATGATCCTTTGTCATTGCCAGGATGAACTCGAAAGATCTGATTCACTGTTACTGGTGCTGTGTGCTTTAGCTGGAGAAGTTAGAGCCACGCAAATGGAATTTACATACTACAGACACATCACAAAGGCGCCAGGTTAATCTTTATATACTTTCCTTGATGTTTCCAAGGAGAGTGGGGATACGTGCCTAATATTTCAATCAGCTTGAATTACGCTTTTCTGCCACCTTGATTATTACCTATTTGTCTCATTTCCCGATCTAGATCATAGGAGTTAAATTCAGATGCGCCAGTGAAACAGCCTCATTTACTCTTTGGAAGAGCTCTGCTTAAATAGTTTTTACCCTCTGCCAGTAACTTCTCTTTAGCTAATAATGCCTGTAAACATTTTAAATGAAAAGGGGGAATTGTGGATCGTCTCCAAGGAGATTAACCTTCCATTTTCTAGAAGATGGAGGCACCAGATATTCTCATAAAGATAAACCAACACATCTGACAGGTGGTTTCTCCATCAGCCTCTTACACCTCATAGAGTTCTCACCTTCCTAACCTCCTACAGTGTGACATGTTACAAGATACTGTGATCTCTGGGCTTAAATCCATGGTATCCATGATTTTACAAAGCCAGGCTGGAACTACACATAATTCACTTAGAATGAATGAAGGGACCTTTCATTTCAAAAGAGTCATTTTTTAAAATTCTCTTGGTCAATCTGGACTTTTGCTGACTGTGCTCAAAGCTGGGGGCACGTGTATTCTAATAGAACGTGTAACGTTAGCTTTCTCTGAGCCCACTGATATCAAATTCAAGCTAGTTGATCATTCTAGCAATATTCATTCTGTGATTATTACCAAAATCACCATGAGTGCACTTACCTCTTTTCAGAGTGAGACTTTCATCCGGGACTCTTGGGTAGATTAATCAACACAACTCCAGACTTTTTGTTATTATTATGTATCAACAAGGATGCCATGATTCCATTGGTTCTTCAAATTTTTTGTTCTGCTTTCACACCCATTTTCTTGCTTACTACTCATAGCATCTTGTAATTTTACTTTACAGATGAGGACATTGTGCCCTAAAGAGAGCATGTGACTCATCCATCAGGACTTGGTAAATCAGAGGAGTCAAAACAGGACCAGATTGCAGGCCGGCATCCTCCCCATTACACCCTCTCAGGTTCAATACCCTGATGCCCATCCGAGCTCTTCCCGGACACCTAACTGATCCACTCGAAGCCTTCTGTGTAAGGGAGTCTCGTGTCCTGAGACCACTTTCCTCCCCGTGGACGCCTAAGGAGGGTCTGCGCTGCACATACAGGTCTTTATTCTGTTGGCTCTAAGGTGTTACTCTAGCAAAACCAGCTACCCTGGTGACATCTTGGAAAGCAGACGGAGTAAAGAGGGACTGACTCATATGAAAGGCCTGGGGACTTTTCAATCATAGACTCGCATATAAGAAACTAAGTCCAGGCGGTTAAGAATCTGCCTGCCAATGCAGGGGGCACGGGTTCGAGCCCTGGTCCGGGAAGATGCCACATGCCGCAGAG